ATGAATTTATAATACATAATTCAGGGAACTGGAGCACAGATCCAATGCCCTAGATCAAGAGCCCCTCACCAGCATCAAGGGACACGGTATCCATGGCTACGCTGCAACATTGTCATAGTTTACAATTGGGTTACAATACACTTTCTATTTGGGTGGAGGGAGGGGGAAAACCCAGGTCAGATTCCTTGGATCAAGAGCCTCTCTTCAAGGCATCTTTCTTGATAGGTATAGGGTGCAGTATCTAACTGAAGGATAAATCATTGGATATTTAACCTATTAGGCTCATTCGACTGACTTTTTTTAAAAGAAAAACCCATCATGCTATGTTTTAGTTATTCGTCATCTGAAACCTGCTCAAGACTGTATTGATCGGTTTTAAATGAGGTGTATAACTAGCTGGTGTAGGCTAGTGAATGCTTAACTACTGAACTGGTCATTAATCAATAGTTTCTTTAACAAACTCACAGTAAACCAGGAAATTTTAAGTGCCATTATCTCAGCCTTTCTCTACAACAAAAAATCGTGGTAAACCCATAAGGTCATACAACACCTAGGGAAGGAAGGTTATTTTCCCATCAATGGAACAAGTAAAAATTCCCTACTTACCTTACTATTAGCAGACCCTGCAACAGCGGTTCTAGATATAGAAAGTCAGTAGAAGTGCCAACAAACCTGACCTGTGGCACACATATGTATATTGTGACAGTGACAGCAGCAGCTCCAGGGATGGTATGACCTGGGAGGTCAAGACACAGACACAACTGACCTCTAACAGCACAGTCCTGGCTGGTTAGTCAGGGGATAAAAGCCTTTTACCTAGACGAGGGTCGTTAGGCTGCACATTATAACCTTTCCACCACCAGACAAGAATACTTTAATGAAATAGAATTAAAGTAAACTGAGCATATATACATTGATATATACATATAAACTGCGTAATAGAGCCTGTAATAGTTATGGGTGGTTAATGGGGTCTGAATGGTCGCTTGTATAACACCAAACAAGAATATTTTAATAGCTAATATTGAGTTGGCTGGGTGCTCAAGTCGAGAAAGGTCGAGTTTCTGGGAGTGTATGGGTTGTATATCTTCTATAAATGGTGGTTCAACGTGGGATATATACCAGTTATACATGAATTTGCTGTCAGAATGGAAGCAGTGCGGTGTCGTGAAGTTACCGAAGCACTGTGCAAATAGCGAGGCTTCTGGGTTATCAAACGTTTGGCAATTACTCGGGACAGGTGACTTAAATGCAAGATGCAGATTCGTAACTGGATTAGCTTCGCAGGAACCTCGAACAATTCGCCAGCGAGGTTCCGGGCGACTTCAACCCCAGCAGCGGGATAACTGAACACCTGGAACCTGGCACGCACACTGGAGAGGCAAATACGATGAATTATTTCCATTAGCGACCTCATCGTAAGTCGCTCTGGTAACACGTGTCTTACTGTCACTGAAGTGGGTAAACTACAGCCAACCTCTCTCAACATGTCTACAGCACAGTCAACATGCAGCAAAAGTAATGATACATTAAAAAACGCACCAGTTCTTGAAAAAAAAAAAAATAGCTAATATAAGACCCCAAAGTAAACTCCCAGTGTATATACACCGAGATATGCACCTAAAGGTGTGTAACTTCAGTATATATACTGAGAAAGAGACATACTGGTGCCTGGACCAGTGGCAGGCTACATTTTTGGGCCCTGAACCTTGAACTGTCATGGGGCCCCTTCGTAACCCCCTTCTCATATAGTAGGCCCCAAATTTTTAAGCAATGTGGATTGAAGTTGCCTCTTGGGCTCCTCCGGGATTAGGGGCCCTGAAGCTTAAGCTTCATTAGTTACATAGTAGATCTGCCTCTGGCCTCGATATTGGTGATCCAAGTGTATGAAGAGAGAGGCGTGTATATACACTGAAGCATGTATATCTCAGTGTATATACACTGAAGCGTGTATATCTCAGTGTATATACACTGAAGCGTGTATATATACACTTAGGCGTGTAGTGTATATACACTGAGGCGTGTATATCTGTGTACATACACTGAGGCGTGTATGCGTGTACATACCTGAGGCGTGTATATCTGTGTACATACACTGAGCGGTGGTAATACATAGGATTGTGTACATACACTGAGGCGTGTATCTGTGTATATACACTGAGGTATGTGTATATACAGAGGTGTGTATATCTCAGTGTATATACACTGAGGCATGTATATACACTGAGGCGTGTGTATGTATATATACACTGAGGCGTGTGTATGTATATATACACTGAGGCATGTGTATCTGTATATACAGTATACAATGAGAAGTGTATATATCTCACTGTATATACCTAAATACCTGTATATCTCAGTGTGTTTGGAGCGTGTATATCTCATAGTGTATATGTATATACACTGAGAGCTCAACCCCGATTTTAGGTACTATGTATTTTAACTGGTTTGTACACTTGATATGCAGCATTAATGACCCTCGTGTAGTAGATTGGCTTTCAACCCACTAACCAGCCAGTTAGGATCTTCATATACCATTCATCTCTTGATCCAAGGACTCCTGCTCAATGGAATCTTTATTTCCTTGGATCGAACCTAAATCCCACAACTCCTGGAACTGTATGGCCCCCAAGAGCTTAGTGTTCCAAGTGTTATAATAATATATTCCAAATTTGTTAAGATCCAAGATTATTATTATAATCTCGTATCTTTAGCAGTATGGAAATTATTAATTATTATTAATGTGAAGCAGTAAACTCAAATGGTCAGACAGTACTGTGGGACCTAGAGATCATTAGTTTGATCTGAGGAAGAGGATGGTAGCTCAGAATTCTATGGATTATTATTATTATACTTACGAGGAAGTGCAAACCCACAGGGGTCACACAGCTCGTTTGAAATGGGAAAGCAGAGGGTGGCTTCAATTCCTTGGATTGATTATTTACATTTAGGGCAAGTGCTAAACATCTAGGGGTCGTGCAGTACCTAGGGAATGGAAGACAATCAGATCTTCTCCAAGGAAGGGAAGAACAGGCCTTCACATAAGAGCACCTCGCCAAAATCGTGGAATCTTCCTCGAAGGGTGAAGAATAGGTATTCAGGTTTGATCCAAGGAAGGGAAGGGTAGCTCCAGTTCCTGGAACCAAGAACTCTTCAGCAGCATCAAGGAATCCCTGCCATTAAAGTGCACTGCATATATACTGTACACTACCTGTACACTGTGCAGTATATAGTAGTGTATATTACATGTGTACTGCACAGAATAAATTTTTTAAATCTAAATGAATAGTTTTTCAAAGATGTGTAAAAGGTAAAGAATAACACCAAATACACAGTAATTTGTACATTTACTAGCAGTCTCAAATATTGCCAGTGTTAATATATTTCATTAGGGAAGGCACAGAGAAGACTTTAACAATTATGTCACAATGCATCCTTCTAAAAGAACATCAGTTTTGAAACATAATTTAAGACTTAAACAGCAATGTTGTCACTGGACATTGTTGGTGCTTTTGACTGAGTATGGCACCAGGCACTGGCACTCTAGGTAAAAACGCAAGCACTAAGAGTCTATGGCTCTGCACTATGCATTGTCAGAACATTGGTTGCTTTAACACAGGATTTTTTCCATGTTTTTCCTGCCCTAAATTACATAAAGAAACTATATTCCTCAGTTAGAGTATTTTATAATGCATCTGTGTGTATTCTGTTAGAACTAGTAAATATATTTTGACCTAAACTCACCTAAAATAATACACAAAGAAAAAGGCTTAAATCCATGTACAGTACAGTAAAAAAAATTATGCATTATGTCCAGACACAGATCTGTTTATTTGTGTAACGTTTACTTATTACAGTGACTTGAAGTCAATACAGAAACATGGCATAATATATCCACCATCAGTGACTAAAATACCAAGCAATTATAAAACAAATCTCTCAAACTTCAATAATAATCAGCTAATGTACTTCCAAAAATGTTAAACATGTAGGTATAGTATTAATACATTTTAAATAATATCCATTATGTTACAAACAAGAATTAAAAATTTTCATCATAAATATCACAACAAATCATATTCAGTCATAGGTATGTATGTCCATCCACAGTTTTGTATTTTCTTTATGTCTTCCTGTTCAAAGATGTTGGAGAGGCATACAGCTCCATGGCCTCCTATCACTGGTCATCCTTGGTAGCTCACACAGACTTGCCTTATCCAAATTAAAAAGTCTGATTACTTTCAATATTCTCAATTCCTGCAACTGAGTCAGAGTTTCCATTAAAATTTTTTGCTTGTCTAAAAAGCGTCTGCCAATAATAGTAAGTTTTTCAAGCTTGGGAAACATTTTAAGAATGCAAGGTAAAGATCGTAGCCTTGGTTGGAATATTTTATACTTGAAAACTGTTACGTTTTCAAAACGTGGCATTTTCTGAGCATCACTGTGTTCACAGCGCAATTCTCATATTGAAGTCTAAGGCTAAATCTTGAAGAAGTGGAAATGACTGCAGCAGTAATGCTATATCTTGTTGACTTACTTCATGAAAGTTTTAGCATGAATGTTTAGGTGTTGTTACTGCCATCCAATACCAGTAAAAGTCTCTGCAGGAACCTCAGCTAGGTTTATGAATTGCAAGTCTATATCAAGCACTCTCAGAAATGAAAATTTAATGGATAGCTTTTGTATGTCTTTAATAATAGTGTTTACATAATTTTTTATGGCAACCAAATTTAGCTTTTCAAGATCAGGTTGCAAACACATGCCAGTGGTCTATAAAACCTCCACCAGAATACAAGCTACTGGATTTAAGAGATAATTTGTGCATATTAGGAGTTTCTCTTCTTAAGTTATGAAAGGCTTGGAGAACATCTGCAGTTGAATTAAATTACTAGCTAAGGAATGTAATTAGTAAAAACTACTAGAATAAGAAGGAGAAAACTTAATTGCACTTTGCAGTAACCAGAAGAAAAAGTCAGAAAGCTGTGGCCAAGATGGAATTTTCATGAATTGAATTTTCCCTGTTGGACATTGCTCAGTAGTTCTGCCAAGTTGTAATTCCGAGAACCTATGATGATATCTATTAAGTCATCTTCTGTAACTCGAGGCTGCCAAACAAGTCGTTCACTTATGTGAAGAACTGTAATAGGACAGTTCCTCGCTGCACACAACACATCTGCTGTTGTGTTGCCACCCAGCTTGAGAACAGTGAGCTCAGAGCAAATGGCAGCAATGCTAACAGCACATTCATACTTCAATGAGGTCAACACCTGTTACATCCAGTTCCTGCAGAAAGTGTTCATTAGCAAAACATTTTTACAGAGAAAAAGGCTGAAGAGATGATGCTTGCTAGCTGTCCTTCTATTGGCACAAAGCTGATTCTGCGAGTTTTGATAGCTAACAGAGTCAAAAGCTGTCGTGTTACATCACGAACTTCACTCTTGTGGCGGTCGTACACAAGATAATTATGCAACAGTTGTGTAGCACGATCAGGGATGCATGGCGACAGGTACCATAGGTCTGTCCACACCTCACTCACATTACTCCAAATGCCCTGCAGCACAAAATTGTGTAAATGAAGTGTACAACAATCTTTCAGTGTTGACTGTACTAGACAGTACAGTATTGTAAACTATGATTTCACATTAACTATTGCTAATGATTTTCTAGTCTTAGCTCCTCAAGGAATGCAAAATCTTATAGAAAAGGCTAAGAAACTTCAAAAAAATATTCTTGAAATAGAATATAAGTTCTCAAAAATCTGTATAATTTATTGAAACTATATATAATGTACACACACACACACACACACACATTATATATTATATATATATAATATATATATATATATATATATATATATATATATTAATATTAATGCTGTAATTGCTAAATACAAAAAATGCTAACCTTAAATATGCTACCGAGATAATAATACTCATTAATATTTATGACCAATTTTGTGAACTAGAAAAGTACCATTAAAGAGAAGTCAGAATAAGATAATAAGTTTATTTAGGTGCAGGTACACATAAATACATCATAAAGATATTATATTATTGTTAGAATATACGTAATTACTGATTATGTGATAACCGAGATAACTTTACTTCATAATCATGGCAGTGACGTTGATAACTCTTGGTTGAATTAACCAGAAAGTCTATACACAAGTGCAGGAGCGGTTTAGGATGCATTCGGATAACTGAGACGATACTGGTTTCACCTCTGATGATTCATGACAGTGATAATTTGCTCTTTTTTTTCAGGATAAGTGAAGTTCGCTTTATATTTTGTTGTTGTTATTGTTGTTTGGGGTTTATAGGGCCAATGACAGCTGACGCCGTATCGTACCCGGCTTTGACCGGATCGACCTGATAAAGAAACCTCAACCGTAAGTAACCATTCTTACAGTATTCATTACCTTTGTAACTTGTGAATTCATTACCTTGTACCTAGTTCAGCCATCAAAACTTTGGGGCCCAGTCCCTGGACCCATTATGTACCTCTGTAATCTGTAAATACCTTTGTAACTTGTCATGATTGTGACTAGACTTACCTGGAGTTCATTACCTTTGTAAATTGTGAGTTCATTACCTTTGTAAATTGTGAATTCATTACCTCTGTAACTTGCTCAGCTATCAAAACTTTGAGGCCCAGTCCCTGGACCCATTATGTACCTCTGTAATCTTTTGACTACCGCCCACAGGATGGGTATGGGGTGCATAATAAACATATTAAACTAACTACCAAAGTGAGAGATAAGAAAGAAGTTAAGATAAGATAGGATTTTGAACGGATTTTTAACCCCGGGGAGAGTTAGCCACCCAGGATAACTCGGGGAAGGTTAGCCACCCAGGAGTCATCGATGACTGTCTGCCTTATTTCCATTGTGATTCTTCAGTCTTGTCCCCCATTCCACTAACACCTAGGGACCTACTTGCTGCTAGGTGAATACCCCTCAAGGAGATAAGATAAGGATAAGATTCGTTCGATTTTTAACCGCTACGTGAGGTTAGCCACCGGATAACCCAAGAAAGTCGTGCGATCATCGAGCTGTCTAACTTATTTCCATTGGTCCTTAATCTGTCCCCACAGGATGCGACCCACACCATACGGGACTAACACCCGGTACCATTTCTGCTAGGTGAACAGGACAACAGTGTAAGGAAACCGTGTCAATGTTTCCACCCGCCGGGGAAACGAACCCGGCCCTCCAGTGTGTGAAGCGGAGCTTTAGCCACCAGGCCACCGACCACATGGCCCGGAAGATTCTTGACGCTAGTGGGGCTCTTGATCTAGGAAATTGATCCGGTGCTCCATTCTTGAATGTCTTTCAACACCCCCACACCCGTATAATCCCTACGGTTTAGCGCTCCCATAATATATGCTATGTGAGACAGGGACAGCAGGGGGAAACAGCCCAATGTTTCACCCTTGCCAGGATTGAACCCGGACACTCAGGTGCCAGGCTCCCGCAAGACAGAGCTGTAAGTCCTTTTGGTTAGTGCTTTCTTTGATTATAATATAATAATCCCCCAAGAAGAGCAGGTCAGGTCAATCCTCCCATTATCTTTTTTTTTTTTTTTGGGGGGGGGTTAGTCCTAGTTTCTTATTTTGACATTTAGGGTCACTTACACATTACGCCCTAATTTTGGTTGCTTATTGTTGCTTCTCTATCCGAAATACACCGCATGTGTGGCTTTCTTGTAGTCCCTACTACACATTCATCCTACGGTCCTTACCTGAGAGTTAGTTAACCATAGAGAGGTCGTATGTAAGTAAGAAATAGCTAGCAAAGGGAGACACTGCTGCTGTGTCTGTTGCTGTTGTTAGGCCTTAGCTCCATCATCTGCCAACAAACACTCAGTTAAGATGGAAGGTGACTATGATATGAGTGTAGATTAATATTTGTAATTATGCATTCTAACTCATCTTGTGTGTGATATTATGTGTCACTCACCTATTCTGTGATTGCAGGGGTCGATTCACAGCTCCTGTGGTGTGTGTGTGTGTGTGTGTGTTAGTTGTAGTGTGTGTGTGTGTGTGTGTGTGTTGTGGGGGTGTGTGTATTTTACATTGCAAAATATAACAAAGGTTCAGCTAACCTTTACGGTGTTTTGCTAGCTGCTGGACTCCTCCTTCAACATCTTGGCTAGCCTGTAAGCATAAAGCATATCATCATTCACATGCAGTACATGGCTTAATCACTCATTTCCCTGGCATCATATATCTACCCGCTAACAGTTATGTTCACTAGTGAACGTAATAGATATCGTATTTTCCGGCATATAGGCAAAAGTAGCATAATGATAAATTAGTAATCATAATCAAGGTGTGGAAAATTACATTTAGCTGAATGTATCATTATATACATAACAGTAAATGAACAAAGATAATTATTATTTATCAGTTAGACAAGTAGGAATTTGGACACCTAGGTCGCAAAAAATGTCCCCCTTCGATACCCACCACTGTCATATCCACAAGTTGCTCTGGACCTATTACTTATAATGAAATATACATCACCAGGAATGCTGGTAAATATGTAAATTTGTGGACTGTATATTAAAATAATAAAGAATGATTATATATAAACACATTTACATAACAGAAGGAGAATATCTTAAAAATTACCAATTTGACTGGAGATTAAGGTGTATCATACTCAGAAACCCCCCCCTGTCTACATTCATGATAATACTGGCCAGAACTATAAAATAATATAGACATGACTTAGCGGGGGTTCCTGGAGCTGTCTTGTCCAGTCGCCTGATATCTCAAGTTATGCACACCAACAATTTTCGTCTCCTATTTGAGAGGTGTCAGCTCAATTTTAACCTCTAGAGCACGAAAAATTCTTTCCATTATACACTACCGTTAGTGTCCAATTCAAACAAAATGGCGAGTCTCCTCCCCAGCCGCAGGTTTCCCATTTTCGATAACATACTTCTTTTAAAAATACAATATAGGGCATCTATTTCCCTATAAATTACTGTATTTCCGGAAAATATATACAGTAATTTTCCACACAAGGGTTAATTATCTTATTACTTTATGCTAAAGCCAAACCCCAAAGCCTACCCTTAAACTTTTGAGCATATAAGGAGCAGGCTGATTTTCCAAGACTGCAAAAAGGTGCGCCTTATATGCCGGAAAATAAGGTAATTTGTTCATTGTTGAATAAGAATGGAATTATAGGGTCACTGGTGAACACACGTTCAAAATTATTATTATTATAATCAAAAAGAAGCGCTAAGCCACAAGGGCTATACAGCAACACGTTCAAAAGAAATTATTATTATCAGCAAATTAAACGTTAAACCGAAAGGGTCATTATAGCACTGTAAAAGGGAATTAAATGCAGATAGGAATTAACCAAAACTTCCATTTCAAGTATATGTACAAGGTATACATGTACAAGGTATACATGTACAAGGTATAAATGTACAAGGTATAAATGTACAAGGTATAAATGTACAAGGTATACATGCACAAGGTATACATGTACAAGGTATACATGTACAAGGTATACATGTACAAGGTATACAGACCATAGCAGACATCAATGACATACTACTATATAAAAAGCTGCTTGTTACACTGAGCATTTCCCGCAAATTAGTTCAGTTTTGTCCCCAGGATGCGACCCACACAAGTCCACTAACACTCAGGTACCCATTTTACTGATGGGTGAACAGAGACAACGGTGTAAGGAAACACTCTCAATGTTTCTACCCTAGCCGGGAATCGAATCCAGACGCTCACCGTGTGATGCGAGAGCTTTAGCCACCAGGCCACCGCGGACTGGTAATAAAAAAAAAAAACCTAACACACTTAATAAACACTGGTCACTGTGTGACAGAAACACTAACTTTAAAGTCAACCCAAGTTGGTGCAAGCTACTTAACCTATCTGTCTGTCGGGTCTCTCTCCTGTCTACCCAAACCTTTCCCACTTGTTCTATCCTATCATAGTCCTCCTCCCGTCCATTTTCACAACCTATCAAAACAAATATCTGAATTTACTTGAAATATTCAATAATTTACATTACTTATGTAAATTTAGTTATTGTGTAAAACACACATTAACGAGGCTATTGTGTGTTGTTAAGAATGTTTATTGTCGGTTCTATTATGTAGGGAAAAAAAATCATAGTTATGCAGTGCATGAAGGCAGTCTTAGAATTAAACAGTATTTGTCTTTTATCTTAAGTGTTGTAAACTGTTTGTCTATTGTTTCATGTGTTAAAAAAGCATTCGACTATTGTCTTACGTGCTGTGTCAAAAAACATTCGTCTATTGTCTTGTGTGATTCAAGTCTACTGACCTATGAATCTCCCCCGGTACGACTGGAAAACATTAGGGACGTGTTTTCCTGAAGACACCTGCTGTCCCTGTTCACCCATCAGCTTAAAATAGGTACCTGGGTGTTAATCGACTGGTATGGGTCGCATCCTGGAACAAAACTGACCTAATTTGCTCGAAATTCTCAGCATAACAAGCGGCTTTCTATATAGTATCAGATCATTGACGTCAGCTATGGTCTGTACACCTTGTACATGTACTTGAAGTAAATAGTTATAATTATTATTAATATGATTATTATTATAATTATATTAGTATATTATTAAATCCGTGCTGAGCTGCAGGTACCATGACTGGTGGTAATGGAGTAGGGGTAGGCACATATGGTCCAAAATTCCAAAAGGTATGCTCACTCTCAGCCAACATTGTCTCAGTTTTTGAGATATGGACACTTCTGTTGGCCATAAATGTGAAAAAAAATGTTAGATTTAAATCATTCTGTTCTGACAACCATTAATTTGTTTGAGAGTTTGTATGCATAAACTGACCTTCAGTTAATATGTTTGTCTTTCATATTCATACATATATAACAGATAGAATCGGTGGGATAGCTTAGAGATGTAAAATAAAAAAAATCAGAGGGGGCTTTTGACAGTTTCGTTTAATTTGTTGTAATATGCACCATATTATCTAGTGCGGGGGTAGTCGAGATTCAGAGGTAATATAGGTCCAGGGATTGGGCCCCAAAGTTAAGATAGCTGAACAAGGTTACAGTGGTAATGGACAGAAGGCGTCCTCTTGGACGTTTGCTTGGAGTCAACCACAATGCCTTAGTTTTGTTATTGAGACCTTGTCAACGTACTTATGATGCCTGTAATGTTGAGGTACAGTCCTGGATCATTATTTTGCTCTCTTTAATGTTGAGGTACAGGTCCTGACCATTTTGTACCTCTGTAATCTTTAGACTACCATCCGCATCATAGATATGGGATGCATAAGGGTACTACATTATTTCTTCCAGAGAGCGAAGTATCACCATACCTTGCAGA